GCCGATGGGCGTGACTCCGCCCATATGGTCAACGTGGACCGTGCCTTTAGCTGAAAGAATCGTCATTGCACGGATTCTGGGACAAATTTAGCAATTTCAGGCACATATCAACCCATCGCTACATTCTGATTTTGGACATAGATGAATTAATAGTTCCTATGGAACACAATAACTACTTCGATCTGCTCAAAACTATCGAACGTGGAACGCCAGCTGATCGTATCACCTCGTTATCATTCGCCAATGTTTTCAAATTTCCCACCAAATCGGTGAATCAATCAATACCGGAACATCTCTACATGCTACGAAACTCCCATAGATCACGGAAAACGAGCAATCCTCGCAATTACGGGAAAAGCATGACAAGGTGAGTACATTGCACAACCCTGTGGCTACAGTATGCAAAAATCTGTCTTTTTAGTACGGCTAACGTCGCTACCGTATTCAATCACTTCGCTTTGCATCGACTTTCGCCAAATGTGACGGGTACAATCTACGTGCCGGAGAAGCTCGGTGTCAAACTTCACTACAAAGCCGCTTGTCCAATTGAAGCTCGAAAGGAGTGTGACGAGCTTCAAACGGATACGGTAATAGATCACAGTATCGATCGATTCGCCAGCGAATTAGAACGACGAGTGAATCGGACATTGAGTGAATTGAAGTTGTTATGAATGTAAATAGAATAAAACGGGTTGTTTAGCAAGGTCTCATCTCAAAAGGGAACTTAATAGGCCCAAACAAGCCGTTACTTTGAAAACCTAAAGACACATTCCTGGATAGTCGGGTGGGCGGAGACTCACACATATTCCTTGGCAAGATGGGCGGAGGCTCGTGCCCGTAAGGCGTCAGTCGCCAGGCTCTCTTCTTCTTCAGCGTGGTAGGAGCACCAGGGAGTAGAGCACATTGATTATGAGTCTCCGCCCACTCAATTATCGCGGAATGTGCAGTCAAGGAAGACGTGTGCGCCACAATTTCGTCTTCCGTCATCACAGGCATGATTGAATGCAAATAACAATGACACCCCCATGAACGTGTTGTTATCAAATAAACATCTTCCCAAATAACTTTCCATCCCTTGCTTAAAAACCCCAAAAATTTTTTGCACCTGAGCGGAGATCGGACCGCTGATCCAGCAGACCGTATCAGCGACTTTCGCCACTTTACCACAAACGCTTCAGGAATGACATAGTAATTAGAGACTCACATAAACTCGTGGAGCATAATATGAGTCCAGCCGCTGTTGACGGTTGCTAGCCGCGATAATACGTCGGCCAGCCCGTCGCCTGTCACGGCCGAACATGCAAGCGTTATTTCGTATGGCGTCGAACATTCTCATAGTGTATATCATTCAAATATTGGATATTTGTGTTTTACGTTTGACAAGTATTCACGGTAGCTCGCAACGAATTGGCAAGTCAAGGGTTGGTTATATCTGACGTCACTGAGAGAAGAGGCTGCGAGGTGCACTTTTGGCCCACCCATACACCCTTTTTTTCCCCTTTTACAATGACGGTTGGCAGCCGGCCGTTAAGGCAACTCTATCTCGTTCAATGCCATATACTCAATGGAGGTTTATCAGTGATGCCTGAAGTCGGCTGTCGGAGTTCCTCCTATTATCACCATTTTTTGGCTTTTAGACAGGGCCTGCGACCCATTGGCCGCCCAACGCAAGCGCTACCGCACGCGTCTATAGCTGTTGTTCACCATTCAGTCTTACTACCGCATGCTGCACCACGGAACAAATATTGGTTCGGTGATCGTCTAATCAGCACGGCAGGACGCTCCTGGCGTGGGGCCTCTCACCAAAGTCTGTCAAGCGGGAGGGGGTATCGGAGAAAAAATTTATATGAGTCACTGCGCCATATTGTGGGCGCTTCTACAGCCATGTTCACGCGTTGGAAATCCAAATGTAATGCCACAGACATTCATGAGCTCACCTGTTGCAAATTCGGCTCAGGGGGGGGGCGACTGTTCAATTTTCGCTGGTAGCGTCCCAACGCAGTTTGGCAATGAGCCAAGCGTTGCCGTTCAACAGCTTCGAGACTTTCAACGCCTTTTCTCAGCACTCCTTCTGTCATTCTGTAATAGAAGGTTACAGACAGAAAATCAGACTCGAAATGCAAAGGCACTTTTGAAAATAAGTGTCTCAGGAAAATGCAGAAGAAAGGCGGCAGGGGATCTCCTTCAAGTTTTTTAATGGAAATAGTAAGATTATACAAGAGTTGCTTGTTGTAAAAACAGCCTTCAATAGATTGGCAAGGCAGTCGATTGCCGCTTGCTTTCGCGACGCGGGGGGGGGCATTTTGTAGAATAATCTGCGTAATTAGCTCGGTTTTACCGTACTCGGTTGGCGAAACCTGTGAACTTTGGGCAGTCATACACAATCATGTTAGCAGCCTTGTATCTGCGAAGAGGCTGTGATAGATAGGTCGTCACGTCGATGGGAAGTAGCAAAAGTGCAGGATGCCCCCCCCCGTCGCCAAACTGCGCCGTCGATGTGATCACAGTGCTCTGTAGTTTGGGTTTAGGGTTACATTACAGTGGTACGATAACCTCAGAGTTACACTTTTTGTGATGTTGTCATTCAGAACCTACTTGCTACTTGTCATTGGGTGAAGCCTTCAGCCCCTTCTAGAGCTGCTTTCCACGTTCAGCGCACCGCTTTCCTATGACGCGCTACTATGAGAGTGCCAAACAGGCTACATGAGGACCTGTCCATCGATACTATGGCTCTACATCCCACCACTGAACACCTACTTCAACTGATCGCCGATATTTTCATAGAGGGCGTCGCTATAGGTAACCCAGGGTTTCCCTGTTCGAAGGGTATCTTCAACAGAGTCCTGCTCAGAATTGGTGGTCACGATGACTATAAACGGACAAGGATGATTGCTCGATTGCATAGGGGGGCAAAACCCTTGACCTCCTGATAATCTAGTGAGTTCTAAATGGCTCACAAATTTCCTATTCCATCCGTCAAGGACTGATCAATAACTATGTTTCGAACATAAAATGTTTGAAGTGACAATGGCACCTACCGGCGCTGTTTCTCCAGGTCAACCGCATCCCAAATGTAGCTTTCTTCTTGCTTTTTTACTTGATCCTCAAGACGCTTCTTTTTCAGCGACGCCTAAAATCGATAAAGATACTGGTGTTGACCAATAAGTACTAACCAATAACTCATCAACGTCAATGGCTCAGCTGGGTCAAAGTATAGTCCTCAAGAAACATTACTGACTTCAAGGAAAATTCGAGGAAATTAGTTTCTGCCGTGTCACAAAAGTTCTTTGTAAAGATGAGACGCGAACGCGTTTTTTGGGACTGGGGCGACTGAGGAATGAATCAATTAACACTGGTGCAAATACAACTGCTATGGGAGTAGCCTGATTAATACACAAAGGTAACTCATTAATGGCGGATGGAAAAACACAGTTTCGCACCAATGTTCCAAACTAATCCGATAATAATAGATCAGGCTATCACTGCATCGCCGTTGTCGCTGTTGAGATACGACTGCTCCATTTTTCGTCTCAGTTGTTTACTGCTCCTCGTATAGTAACATCCGTTCTTTCTTAGAACGGCATCCTTGCAGTCCTTTAGTTTGCGCGTTTCCCGTTCCACGAATATCGTGGCCTGAAATGAGTGCAGAAATAGCCTCAAGTAGCAGTCGGAAACCGGAAATCGGAAGGCGGAATACTTTGTCAATAAGGCGCATCAAAAGATGTAGACTCATCAGGTTACAGCTTCACTTTCGTGATCAATGTCGCTTAGACTATCTGCGAGTTCTGAAAAATCGTTCCGATTCTCGGAAAGCTCTTCCGGTTTCCGATGAAGTTCATGGCTATCAAGAGGTGCTTCCAGCTTTTCAAAAACTGCTTTCCTTCTCGAGCGCCCGTGGTCTCTAATACAATTATCGCAGTTCCTTGCTTGAAGAGAGAACTGAACACATGGAGCGCAGTTTCGGCTGGATGATAGGGGAGCAGCAGGAGGGTGAAGGGGAGGGGGGGGGGGAGGACAAGGCTTGTGACGAATATCTGTCACTTCTTGTAAATCAGTGAACACAACAACGAGGAGCTGCGAAAGTGCAAAATGTCCTCTACCCCTTAGCCGGACTGCACCTGAATGCTCGCTTTACCACGCCAGAAGGAATCTTCCCTATCGATTTTTTGGGAGCTAATCAATAATGTTTATCGACTACCTACCGCTCGGATAGTCTTCGCCTCAGTGAGCTGGATTGAACGTAACGGCTGAATTACGTCATCGGTGAGAGCTGAGCCCAGATTGCTGTAAAAAAATTTCTTGGTATTGATCGTTATTTGATTTATGTAGAAGATATCTAGTATCAAATATCCTCTACACACCTGTGAATCGTGGCCTGCACGTCGAACTGCTCAGCAACCGATGTCCATCCTTTATCGATATCACTGAAACAAAATCGATTTGAAGAAGATGTTGGCTGTTATCGATTTATGTGGAGGATATATATCGATTGATGACGTCATTACTAGCATTCCTAATTTAGGCCCTAGTTTGTTCGGCCGTAATTTTTATTTCGAACGATATGCATTTCTTCTCACCTTAGCCAAAAAGAATCTTCGGGCAATCATGGCATGGGTGGGAGGAGTCCGTTGCTGCAGTCACTGGTGAGGGGGGCGGGGCGTTGGCCGGAAGTCTCTGCAGTCCGATTCCACCAATGAATTGGTATACCGCACCTCCCAACTTGTTGTGCCCACTGCTTCAGACTCAACATGATAAAATGAAAAAAAGAAATGTGCAGTTGTTGATGAACGCTGCCACTTTTTGACGGCCGCCCATGCGTTTGACTTCCGTTCGTTTTTGAGCACGGAAGATGATTGGAGATGTGCATATAAGTCCGAATTGTTATGCTTTCTTTCGTTCATACATTTCCCCGGCCTGCCCTTCAAAATTGTAAGCATTGAAAATTCTACTGCGTCTCGTACAAGGCGATGATAAGATTTCCAGACCGTAGCCATACAATTCAATGAGAAGAGCCTTTTACTATGTTTGTTTTCCTCAGGTGGCCGCCTGACCACACCCTTCATAGCCACACCCACCTTTCAGTCATATGGGTGGCTCGGTGCAGATTCGCTGAGATCTTCTTCAGCGACTTGGAGTAGTGGAAGTCGAGTGCAGCTCTGAAATAGAATCGGTTAATAACTAGATACTGAGAGACTTCAAAAAATATTTCCGTTTCAACAGGAAATATTTCCCTTCCGACTTTCTCAGTCTTTCCCTTTCTCAGTTTTCAAGAAGCCCTACACATTCTGCTGCCACCTTCCCGCTAACGCGGCAGTTTTTGGAGATTGGAGAAGTTCAATTGAAAAACTTTACTGTGAGATGGTAGGTAAGGTGGGGGAAGTGGGTCGTACTAAGGGAGTTCTAAGGGAACAAACATTTCCAAAGATTTCCGCCTACACAGCAGGACGTGCCTGGATATAATATATGTGGCATAAGACTTGACTGATTATTCCAGAAATAGGCTTTTGTAATGACTAGATTAATGAGTCATTGTGTCATTACATGGTTTAACAAGCCGCGTGGCAAAGAGCTGAGCGGTCAGAGGAAATGCACACAATTCTGTGCTTTTCCCTTCCGAGGAGATGTTTGGTACAATGGACCCTCTGTCTGCAAGATAAAGGCCTAGGTTATAGCGGGCGGATTTGAACTAGGGATTTTAGCCACAAACCGAGTATATGAACGTGATACGTTGAGGATCTCTAACGAGGGGGTCGATTTTGATCACTAGGGTGGGGCATCGCTTTGGTCTCCGGGTAATGTGCTTGGGGTTGTTGACTTTTCTCAGGTTTCCCTGTTTCAAGCGCGCTGCGGACCCCGCTCGACGACAGTTTTTTCAAAAAAGGAGATATTGGCAGTGGAGAAATTTGAGTTTCTGAAATCTGGAGAATTCGTAGAAAAAGGAGAAAAGAGCTCTGAAGTAGGGAGAATCCAGGAATATAATTGGTTGGATGTGGATGCAGAAGGGGGAATCGGTTTCAAGGGAAATTTTGGGGAAGGAATTGTACGCCAATAAGTCCTGCTCCAACGGCAGCGGCACGGACGTGCCCTGTTGGAAGGGTACAGTTAGCTCTGCTCCATCTGCCGTCGAACTAAAGTATCACAAACTACGATAGGGAACTTTTGGGAATGAGAGCCGGTCGGGGAATTCCCGATAAAAAAGAGTTATCATAAACCGAGCGGAGGAAGGCCAGGAAGATCTGATGCCTTCACTTCCAATTTCAAGTCGGAAGCACTGGCCAGCAGCTTCACTTCTCAGGGAGAGCTTTATTCGGGGCGTTGCGCAAGGAGTCTTCTGTTTTCATCTTCAAGACAGTCACCCTACTATGCTTACGACAAAAATCGCAAAATATATATTTAAGAGCACACGAAATCTATGTCGATGTGATTGCCCCCCCCCAAAAAAATTACACGGGCAACAACACTACCAGCCAAAATAGCCAATGTAGCTAGAGTTTCTGCCTAAGAAAAAACATAATGAGCTAAAAAAGGATCGTAACGGAGCGCTCACTTCTCTTCAAACGCAGCAATAATTTCTCGAAGAACGTCATTGTTGTGTTGGACCAGTTGTCGAAGTTGCTCGAAATTTGATGGCGACTGAAAAGACACAAGTCATTCGAGAAAAAAAAACTAACTTTCAATATGAAAAGAAAATTGAGGAAATGTGATAGCCAGATTGAGTGTTATTTTGTAGTCGAAAAGTCTAGAGTCGAATATTCCTATTCAAAAACATTTTACGTTGAAGCGTGGGCGGGGTCAGACCTGTTACTGCGCCTCATTGGGCCACAACTCTGAAGCGTACAGAGGTTGGATGCACTGATGTGAGGGACTCTATGGCAGGCCCCGCTTCGCCCACACGATTGCCGTGGACATCGCCTTTGAACAAGCAACATGAATATTGATAATCACATGCAAAGAAAAGTTGAAAAAATAAACAAAAAAATTTTGGTGCGGTTTGGTTATGGGGGGGGGATTCAGCTTGTCCGTTCGATTTGGCCTTTTTGTCATTTTCCCACTACATATCACCCCTGCCACTATTTTCGAGCAAGTACCAAATTAGCATGCCTTATGCCTTTAACAGCTTTTATATGTCCCTAATCCGTTCACGGACCTGGCTCAGCGCCAGACATTTAGTAGCGATTTCCGGCCTTCAAACATTTGTGGAGCATATTATTTGTCCACATGTACGACATCCGGCTAGATCGTCAACGCCGGCGGCTTGAGTGCTCAAGATAACAGCGGACAAGTTTACAGCATGAGCTTGTTTGTTCATGCATAATGCACTTCTGATAAAAATCGTATGCTGCTGGGATATCTCTAGAGGAAAAGCTTCATGGCATCAGCACTTAAATTGTTCCAGAATATTCCAAAAAAAGGTGAATAAAGGTAACTTAAACGTCCAGAGATAAACAAACATCATAGCGAGAACACGGTTATTCAAAAAACGCACATAAAATTAATCCAAAAAAATAGCAAGACATAAGAAAAAGCGGAAAAGTATAAAATAGCAAGACATAAGAAAAAGCGGAAAAGTATAAACAGAAATGTGGGGAACATGAATGATGAATTTTCTTCGAAAAAAAGAAGAAAAACCACCAATTTTTTCCCCCCCCCCCCTAGGAGTTCCAAAAGCTGTATTAAAGACACAGTTGAAGTTGAGCTTCGAATAATTATCAAAAGAGAAACAGAAGTGACATGTGATTTGGATAAGTTCCTCCCTACCGTAATTTCCGGCGAATAAGTATGTGCTCAGTTTAGATCAAGCACATTAATGACGGGCGACGAAATAACTAGAGCTATTCTGAATGGCCATACAAACTGTGCACTCACCTCACCCACCTCCGAGGACGGTCCTTTCCCTGTGCGAGATAAATGGCTCCATAGCTGCAAAAGCATGCCACCTTCTCCGCTCGAAAGTGCACGGTGACGGGGCTGGAGGGTACTGATGTCCGGATGTTGTTTTCCGACTCCGCCCGCGCTATCCTCGATGTGTAGCACTTGTGTCGAGAACAAGGTCCCACAGCGAACACGCAGTCAAAAGCAGAAAATAACCGGAAGAGAGAGAGAGAGTACAAGTGGAGCGTTTTACTATGGTCAGGCGTGCGGCTAGCCGAGAAGAAGCGCGGGCAGAGTATGATTACGGCACCAGGGTATCACCACCCTTCATTCCCATTCCTGTGCAATTCTGGCCGAAGAAAGTGGCACGTTATGCAGCTGCGGACCATTGTAAAAGCCAAACGAGGATCCAAACAGGTCAACGATTCGAATGGACGTCAAGTGCATGGCGCACACGGCAAGAACCAGGATCCATGGAGGTGAGTGTTCAATGTGTTTTCAAAGAGCCCCTTGTGCAGAATCGGGATTGCTTCAAAGGAGTTAAGGACTTTCGCAGGCTTTAGAGAAGGAACAAGGTTGTGCAAGGAGGGATATGGTAGGGTGGAGCTTTCGCATTGCTCTTATCGAAGTTTCAAAGCGAGAGTCTTTCAGGCACTTCATAAGAAGACCTGCCTCTCGTAATTTAGTATAATATGTAGAAAATCTGATGAATCCTTAACGTTAGAACTGAAATCAAAGTCATAGAAAGGTTATAAATAGAGTCCATTAAATAAGGACTGACTCTGGCCGTCTTTCGTGAAAGGGCAAAGCTAGCTATAAGACTAAATCCCCCTCTCATAAGCCGTGCCATTTATAATGAAAAATATTTTTGTCAACACTGATCAAATCCTGCAATTCGTTGTAGAGGCCAAATGCTCATCCAAACAGTTCAACGGGTTCAAGTGAAAGTCAAGTGCACGGCGTACACATCTTAGGTGTCGTAAATAGAAATAAATGAAAATATGAGCTTGTTCTTTCTCCTTTACATCGCCCCTCCATAACGGTTCCAGTGCTGGTCTTGCTGCGCAGGTTCTCCGAAAAGCCCCTTCATACAGCGATTTTTTACGGGCGGCGGCAGTGAGGGGACCAATAATGCCGCCATCTGCTTTTGGCTTCATCGAAACGGAATTTCTTCCCATAAGGAATCCAAATTGATAACTGGCTTGGCTGGAAGCAATAAGTGATGGGAATAATGAGGATAGGGGGAGGTGTGGTACAGGAGTTCGTTCCGCCTAAAAGTTTCTCGTTTCTCACTCCTACTACTGGTGAAGGTCCATTGCTCCAAGAGAAAAGGCCCTTATTCACGCCAAGCCCTGATCCGATCCTTTTCCCTATCCACCGTTACTCTTCTTCTTCTTCTTCTTTCTTATAGTTACTCAGCCTTGGTTAGGTAAGAGACATAAGGGAACTCAAACATAAGTTGGGCGGAAGCCATTATGTGGGCAGAATTTGAATTTTGAGATTTCGAGGAGAGGATTAACGCATTGTCACAGAGGGGACATACCCTCATCCTTCTCAAGGATTATTACTGTATTTGATGTGAGCGCTTTTACCTTCCTTTGCGAAGGGTTTCTAAAAATTTCCCTCACATCTCTATTGACGCAGTTCTGAAAGGTGTTATTGTCGGCAAACAAAGTCGCCGTCCGATCGTGTTACCAACAAATGCACAATAGGCGATGCCAGACCCGGGTTTCGTGTAACTCGATCGATCGAAAACCTAGTACCTCGAGAATTCCCACACCAATCGATAGTCTCGGAGAGCTGCCAAGTTAGAGAGAATCTTTACCGGTATTTCGAAGTGAAAGAAGTAAGGAGAGCTGGCAAAAAGAGCTCCAAAGGATAGGAGTAAGGGGGTGTTACTTTATAAGGCCTCAGATAGAAGTAAGAGGGTGTTACTTTATAAGGCTTCAAAAGGCTCCTGGAAGACCCTGAATTGAGTTTTCCGCAAGCTGTGCACTTACTGGATAATAACTGACATTTTTATTAGAAATAAATGCTTTTTCACACGAAGGATCACAGGTATTGGGGTGCCATAAACCTTGTGACGGGGGGGGACGTTGAAAGTGCTCCTGGAGCAAAAAGGGGAGTAACATCATCAGCGCACGTCCTGTCGTTGGGGAAAAATTTTGCTAAATGCCCCCCTACCTCCTTTCTCTTCTGGCACGACACCCCCCCCCTCTTCCCCCTGTCTCCCATACTGCTTACTATCCTCCTGAGCTCACGCAACTTCTCATCTAATTTCCGCACTTGTTTTCTGAGAGTTTCCCTGTTTTTCTCCGAAAACTGCCTCCCAGCGGGGCGGGGGGGGGGGGAGGGAGAGTAGTGAGGACTCAGAGAATGTTTAGCATTTTTATAGGGATTTCAAGCTTTATCTTAGAAACCCTTACGGGTCTCGCCAAAAAAGGATGCCGCTAACCGTAGGCGGGGGGGATTGCAGGAAGTGCTCTGCAAAAAAACTGACTATCGCCAAACCAAAGGTACTGGTCTAGGAGGACCCCGGACCCCCTCCCACGTCTATGGCAAAAGCCCTCATCTCCATAGAGGAAATCCCACAAAAGGTCTTTAGCATAAGGAGACCTCTGAATGCCCCCTCCAAGGTTATAAAGGCTCAAAGACTTCTTCACAGAGCACCCCTGCAATGGTTGTTTGGCTAGAATGGCTGCGATAATTCACATTCTGCACTATTCCTTTCAGCAGCGCTGGCTAATCTGGCGAACAGTTGCTGAAGGGCTATGCATCCGGTCGATTTGAGTCATTCAACCATCCCACACTTCCTGCCCATTGCAGCGGAAGGGTTTTAACAACGCTATGACGCATCGAGGGACGACTATGACTTCCAAGAACTATCATAAAGCCGCGGCACAACAACGAGCCTAAAACTAGAACGTTCTGAATTTTCGAGGAAAGGTTTTGTTGTTCGCGAGTGTAGTTCGGCTCGGGAGGAGGTGGGGGGGGGGAGTAACTCTGCAATTTCACTGCTTCAAACTGTCATGATCGTTGCTTTACAGGGATTGACAGGTGAGTCCCGCAAACGTCGCCTAGTATTACTTCGTGGCATTGCAAGGGTTCACAAATCTCTACGTGATGGCTCGTCACGACAATGGGGAAATGGGAAAAGGGCTTAATTCCCTCCCTCTTTTCAACTGGTCTGCGCCTGTTAGTGAGTTCAGGAAAATCGCTGTCTTTGAGCCTGAGAGGCCTTCTCAGAGGGAGTCCGATTTCCTGGTAGAAAACGCCTTGGAAACCTTGCGTTTTTTGAACGATTAGGAAACAAGGGACGTGGACAAAAATAACTTCGAACATATTACGTTTTGATGTGACGTTGTTCAAGCGATTCCTCCCAATACTGCAGATCCACCAGATCCTCCCCCTCCCCCTCCTGAAGGGCGTTTGGACATTGCTGTACAGGTCTATGCTCACTATGGGCGTGCTCAGCTTAGTTTGGGCATTGTAAATCTCCTGGCCGGATCTTTTTGTCCATCTCTCGGCCATTTTAGAAACAAAAGAGGCACAGATCACCCATACTGCTCCCCTTTCTCAAAATTCCGTCCACATCTCGACCGAGGTGTCTCTACGTGGGAGCACTCGGCTAGAAATTTGTCTCTGAGGGTGGGTTGACCCCTT